CTCTCTCTCTCTCTCTCTCTCTCTCTCTCTCTCTCTCTCTCTCTCTCGTCTCTTGAAGCCTGCCACCAGCAACCCATAGGGTTGGGGCGTTAGGTCAGGTTCCAGTCCCGGGTAGGTCTGGACGCGTTCGATAGTAACGAACCGCATATTACAGAGATGTGCGACGCGTATCAATCAAAAGATAGCCTAGACAACCACACCCGTACCGTATGTTGAAGTTGCAGACGAGGACGGTGCAGTAACGCCACGTGACAAAGGCCCCTCCGTTGTCTCTGCACGTGGGGTAGACAACAAAGGCAGTGAGGAGGCGAACAACGTGAGATGGTACCAACATGATTTTCGTTCGTCGAAGTTCCCTGCAGGCCGAGTACTGCAAGAACCGACCCTGGTGGGGCACAGCAGTATTCCCAACGCTTTGCACATGTCCAGGCCATTATACCTGCAATACCCGCTGGTGACGGTGTCGGCAACGCCTTGCTTGACGAAGACCCGCCCGTTCCGTCTGTGTGGCGCAGGGAGCAGACAGCCCGGGGGGTCGAAGGATACAACTAGGGCACACACGCATTTCGTTCGCCAAGTTTCAAAAGGCCAAGTACTGAAATTCAACGCCCAGTATGCCAACAACTTTATGCGCGTGATTAGGCCATCATACCTGCAACACCCGCTGGTGACGGCGTCGACAACACGTCGCTTGACGATGACCCGCCCGACACGCCTGTGTGTCGCAGTGAGTCGACAAACCGGGGGGATGAGGGGAATAATGAGGGTGGGATGAAGGTGAACAAGCGTCGTGCTCGCACAAGGCGAAGAACAGCTGTCCAACGCTTATAGCGCAACGTGCAGTACGCCAAGAACCTGGTGTGCGTGACAAGGCCATCATACCTCCAACACCCGCTGGTGACGGTGTCGGCAACACGCCGCTTGATGAAGAAGACCCCTCTGTTACCCCTGCGTGGCGCAGCAACCGTGGGTCGACGGGTACAATGAGGACAAACACGTGTTTCGTTCGCCAAGTGTTACAAGGCTGAGCACTGCATCCAACGCCGTTGATCCAGAAGCGCAGCAAAGCATTGTGCGTGATCAGGTCATCGCACCTGTAACACCCTTTGGTGACGACGTCGACAATACGTTGCTCAACGAGGACCCTCCGTTACCGCTGTGTGGCGCTCGCAGAGAACGGACAACCGGGGAGGCCGAGGGCCGCATTTTGGGCAACACGCGTTTCGTTCGCCATTTCCGCAAAGCTAAACAAACCACTAAAAACCCGGCGTTGGCGTGTGCTGGCAACAACTCCCCGGCTGGAAGACCACCCTTGCAATTTTCGCGTGGCGCTATCCAAGGGTCGAACAGGGGGCTTGATAATCCGTCATTGACGCGGCGCGATTTTCGGCTGGAGAAACCAAATACTTATCGACTACTCCGTGGCTCACCGCTAGTCGCCCCGCTGCCGGTGTCTGAGATGCTTGTGACCACGGAGGAATCCGTGGTCGAATCTGATGAAACCGAGCAAAACAAGGCGCTCGTCATCAGTACGCCATGCGTGTTGAGGGAGGGTAAGGTAGGGCCTTTCGCAAGCCAATGTCAACATCAAAAGCCATATCCTCACTTCTTACTTCACACTCCGGCGAGGGAACCAAGCAGTGAGAACTGGAAACGGCGACAAGGTTCCTGTATGAGAGGGTGGCGTGGCCAAGGCCCTGACCCTCTCCTATCGGAGCCCCCTCTAAATACTGGAACTACCGAACGATACTACGGCTGGTCGAGTCCGTGACAACCGATTTCGACTCTCTCATATCGGAGCTCCTCATCAAGAGTCCCCTCTAATCACGAACCCCAGGGTGTACAGTAGTCTACGTTCGTTGTTGACCCCGAACAGATTAACCCACTGTGGATCGCACTTTTGATATGATGAGAAATATGTANAAACAGGCGAACAAGATCGACATCGGACCAGTCAACGCCAATGATATGGGGATGGAGTGTAGACGCATCGTAGAACGCGTTTCCGTTTGAAGTTGGCGTCTTGTTTGAGAGTATCTATGTGACAGATTTGCGTAGAATAGGGTAAGATGTTATCATGAACGGAGAAGAAGGGCTTTTTCAACACGGAGATGTAGCATGGATCAAAGCATTGTTGGATTTCAGCTTTTACAAGAGGACATCAACGCAGTAGTACTTTAGCAAGCCTACGAACGCATATAGGATACCATGAGGATTGTCATTGGTTTTATTTCAAGTTGAAGAGGAGATATTTTTACGATGTAAATGACAGTAGAAATAAGTCCTACATATGTTGTTGTACTTCGTATTGGTTTAATATTCATTTAGAGAATGAGACATTAAGTGAAAGTTTTCTGAGGTACATCTGCAATTGTCGGAAGGCAAAAAAAATAAAAATAAAAATAATAATAATGTAGAACCGCGATGTGAAAGGCTTTGATGTAAAAAGGGTGTTTGCCCGACACGAGATAAGGTGCCCCAAGCCTTATATACTGACATGTGGTGCACACGTTGATAATAAGATTTTTCTGTGCCGTGCTTGGAGTGGGGGAGAGCGTATCATTCGTCAGATCTACAGTCCTACTCGATTGGATGGATTGGAGTGCTAGACTAGGCATACGCTTCGGCTTGATATATCCCACGCCGGCCCATCAGGCAGAGCCACTCTCGTTTCTCGACGGCGACTTCACCAAGCACCCACTACTTGGTGCCTATGGGCAGCTGACGAGGGTGTGCCCACACGATCCCACGGGTGACCAAAAGGGGTACTACAAAGGACACTGTTAAAGTGGAACGACGAACCTGAACCTAGGCTTGTTGAGACACAAGTCATCACGTCGGGCAACGCGAGTGTTGCCTCTTGGTGAACCTTACCTGAGCAAGTGATGACAATTGGTGACGGCGATGGAATGTCGAAGTCACAATAGCTGTTGTCGCATTCGACCCACTCTAGAGTGATGTCCGCAGGGTTCGAGGCATCGTCGTACGTCTGGACAATACACAAGTTCGGACGACAACAGTAGCGCATGCATGAAGTCAAGCAGCGCAGACGGCAGAAGTACACCCCAGGCCTACCTCCAGCTGTACTCAAAGGCCGACCAGAACTAATGCAACCTCGATATTGAAGCGAATGAAACCCAGCCCAGCACTTCAACGCCCGCGCCGTTGTTCAACGCATGACTTGCGTAAAACGCTTCTACAACTCGACTCGACCTCGTCCTTCCCCCCGAAGGGGCCAGCATATGTTTGGCCCCATCTTTAATCGGCATGGAGACACAGGAGGCGACGGAGATTCATGCATCTGCGTTGTTTCTCGTCCCCATTGGTAGAGGGGTTGGCGTCGCCGTTAGGAAGGGAGGCACGAGAGGTTTGAGTCGACGTGCTGCAGTGCCAATCGATGGCAGTGGTCTCCGAACACAAGCTACTACATACGGGGAGGTGAATCTCCGAGCTCATCGATACCGCGTAGCTCACGTAGACAGTCTTCCAACAGCCCGCTGAAAGGCAAGCGTAGAGCAGATGGACTCCCGACTCACCCGGTATCTGGGGTATACGGCCTCAATTGGCTGCATGTTCCAAGCGCCATTGTCTAGGTAGATGCTGTAGGTTTCCACCCCAGCCGCCATAGAGTATTGTTTGTCGTATGAGGTGTCGGCGACCTCAGCGTACGTACCCGAAAAGTCGCCGAAGTCGGAGAGAACCACCTTGGTGCAGGTCGCTGGTCGTACGCGCGGGTGTATGACACAAGGTGCGCGGCACCGCAGTTCGTTTCGCTGTTTACGTGAAAACAGGTTCGCAAAGCAGTGGCTACAATTTCTACCAGAAAGCTGAGAAAAAGCTTGCCGAGGCGCACGATGAGAGAGCAATGGATACACAGCGATTACACGGTGCAGTGGTGAGCAGTCTGAATTTGCTCCCCCATCGACATACGACGAAAACTCAGCACGCTTAGTATCATTCTTCACCCAGATTAGTCTAGTTTCCATGTGCCATTTTTTCTTGAGGTTGATTGGGTTTAGACCCTTCAACAGGAGCGTTGTACATCGATGCACCCCTATCACTTGTACAGCGCACATCCAGTTCGTTTCGTTAGAAAAAAAGAAGCATCACGTGTGAATAGGATCGAGTCTTCCTTGCGAATTGAAGCCCAACTGAGACACTTCACGTGTCTGGCTACGAAATCAAGCGAGCAACCTGCAGTTTGGTAGAGGCACACGTGAGCGAGGAACACTGCGGGTGGCACGGGTGAATCGAACGAAACCAGGTACTTGAATACATCGCTCGATCAGAAGTACACACGACCCGCGGGTCCACCACAACTGCCTCTTCTGCCACCCAGCGTTCGGGCCAACAAGGAGCAAGTGTCTCACATGCTGTGGCGGAGACAGTGTCTGTCGTAACGGAGGACGAGAGCAACGCCGGGGGGGCAGGACATGTTGTCGTAGTCAGCGTTCGAGTTGATTAAGATGTGCAGCGGCACTTTCGACAATCCTGGTCCAATTGCTTGAAGTGGGATTTTTGAACATGTTGTGCAGGCGCTTCTGTTCTTCTATCGTTCGCAAAATAGGTGCACTTAGTAAGGGATGCACACATGGATGGCTTCAACCTTAGCTTTCTCCTGTGCACTGCACCAGGCTGCACAATCTCACCCGTGCAAGTAACGTTAAAGGACGCCGTTGCCGGTTCGTCCCAGTCGCAAGAGACGTTGTCACATTCGGCCCAACCTAGGGTGATGTCCGCAGGGTGTGCGGCGTCGTCATATGTCTGCAGTGCGTGCGAAGCCACGAAAACGGGGGGGGGGGGGGGGGGGGG